GCAGTCACCAGGTGAGGTGAGGCTGCAGCAGGAAAGCATGGAGTTCCTAAAGGCTCACTATCTTTAAAGAAGATATAACAAATATAAACATCAGTCCACCTAAAAACAGATCATTAAAATACATGAAGCAATAACTGACAATCGCAGGGAGAAGTAGACAGTTCTACAGTATCCGGGACTTTAACACCCTCCCACCCCCATCAATAATGGATGTAGCAGACAGAAAATAAGCAAAAAAGAGAGGACAACACAAATTATGTAGCTGTCAGATATCAGAGAATACTCTACTCAACAACAAATTAATAACAGAATTGTCATATGATGGAGCAATTTGACTTCTGAGCATATTCCCAAAATAACTGAAAGCAGGGTCTCAAAGATCTATTTGTGTACTCATGTACATAGCAGCCTTACTCACAATAGCTAAAACTCGGAAACATGCCAGGTGCCCATCTATGGATAAATGGATAAACAAAATGTGAGAAAATATTACTGATTACCTGTTCTTAAAGGAAAGAAATTTTGATATATGCTACAACACAGATAACATTGAGGACATTATACTAAGTGAAAAAAACAACTTGCATAATAAAACACCATATAATACCACTAATATGAGGTACATAGAGAGCTAAAATCTTAGGGAAAAAGAGAATGGTATCTTCCAGAGTTGTAGGTAGGAGAATGGGGACTTGTTTAATGAGTAGAGGTGAAAAAAGATTGAAGCTGTTGGTTGCATAATATTATAAATGTATTTATTACCACTGGATGTATAACTTAAAATAATATGATGGTTAAATTTTACATTACATGTATCTTGCTACAATAAAAAAACTGGGAAAAAGAGGAAACAAATTAGTCCAATAAAAGTGCCATGATTATTTCTCTTAATTTAATGGAAGAACAATAAATGGGATAGGAGAGACAAGGTCTATTTCTAAGTTCTATTTATCATAACAAAATACTACAGACTGGATGGCTTTAAGACCAAAAATTTATTTCTCACAGTTCTGGGAAATAGGTGTCAGTACAGTTGGCTTTTGGTAAGAACTCTGTTTCTGACTTGTAGACAACCATCTTGTTTTTCCATGGTGGGGGAGAAAGAAAGCTATGTTAAAGTTCAAATGTTAGGAATTTGGAGGAAACAATCTAGCACATAGTCTGTTTTCATTGCATCTAGAACTTCTGCCTTAATCAAGTGGAAGAGGCAGTAAAGGGTGATATTGTGATACCAATATTTAAGCACGTTACAAAAATGAAATTATTTCTCAATTGTTTCCCTTAAGTTTCTAAATAGATAATGAAAGGTCTACAAAGAAAAGCAAGTTTGTATTTGGTGCTATTACTCCACTCAATCTCTTCTCCCCCAGCACTGGAACCCTTAGCCCCTGTTGGCACCATGAGAGTGCTGGCTCTGGAACCCTTAGCCCCTGTTGGCACCATGTTATCAACTGTCAGAAAGGAGGTATGCATCAGCACCCTTGGTTGCTATTAGACGTCTGTCACTTTAAGGAGCCAGATCCTGGTCTTTCCAATGGGTTGAAAGCAGCTGTAATTGATGACTGGCCGCTGTTATCTACTTGTTGACATCTCTGACAGATACCAGGCTCTGAATTTGTTTCCTTCAGACTTAATCTGCAGTCCTTGCTCACCTTGATCTCCATTCTGGGTCACTGTCACTGGGAGTAATTTCCCTGATTCTGAAACTCTGGATCACCTACCACCCACAAGATACTTTTTTAAAGTTTTCTGCCTCCACAGGTTAAGGATATCCAAACACTGACAGCAAACACTTGCTCCACTGCCCTGCCCTGTGCTTCTCTCTCCTGACTGTAACTGGAAAGTAACCTTTCAGGGCTTTGGCCCAAGGGAGGTACTATAGTAGGAGGAGTGTAGCATGAGTCATAAAACTTGAGGATGTGCACAAAAACTAAGTAAATAAATCTTTGGCATAATCCTTTGTTCATGATACATAATGTATTAAAGTGTATTAGTTGCAAAATTGGACATGTTTGATATTTAAAGAAAAAATATCAGTATTAGTATAGAAAAACAATGAAGGCAGTACACAGTGTGTTGGTTTGTTTTGTACTGCTATAACAGAACACAGAGACTGAGTAATTTAGATTGAAAAATAAGTAATGGGAGTATTAACATACACTTAGAGGTATACGAGGACCACCAACAGAACAGTATTTTATGATAGACAGCTAGGTAAGAAATGGGGACTAGGGAACTCAGCTGGATGGAGAATTTCATTTGGTATCATTCTGTACTGTTTCACTTTTCAAACCTGTGTATATTTTAATTTTATTCCAGAAAACAAGAGAGAGAGAGAAAACCCCAAATCCCAAAGTTTGTGCAGTGAGCAGGTCTTGGCACTCTTATCTTCCACAGCTGCAAGCAATTTTCTTATGGTCATGATCAGGTGCTACTGGACCAGGAAAGACTAAAAAAGGAAAAGAGTTAAGTTTCTACTCTCAAGTTCACATTTTTTGGAGTCTTTTGTTCTTTGTTTTAGTGTTCTATCTTTTCAATGGCCCAAACTTTTGAAACACTAACTTGCACTATTTTAATCCATGATATTTAGAATCTCTTTAAAGTTCTGCTAAGCTTTTGGAGCTGTTATATTTTGACAAGAGTAATCTTGACTCACTAGACTTTTCTGTGATCCTTTAAATGATTTCCTCAAATATTTTTAAAGAAATCATCATTTTCAAGTACTAACCATCTGCTTACAACCTGCCCTGCCTAGGTAGGAATGAAAAGTCTATGAAAGAGTGATGACAATTACTATTATGAGAATAAGCAAAATCTGATACTTTATTAGGACAGTGATGAGAGAGTAGGGTTACAGTAATCACTCCATTCCCCTCATGTTTGCCTGGAGAAGAGAGGATTTCCCTCTGACTCCTAGAGAACACACCTGGAGGCATTTGGAAGTAGTTTCCTAGATTAACCACCATCACACATTGACGTTAAAAGCATGACACATTACACATATGAAAAAAAAAGAAATTTGGACATCTACATTTCCTGAAGTTGTCTTAAATGACACCCATTGAGAAAACTGGAAATTGGAATTTCCCAGAAGCATCACCAAAACACTAAAACCCCCAAAGAAACACACACACAAAACATGCAGAAGCACAATTGTCCATGGCAGTTTGTGCTTTGCCAATGTAGATTCACAGGAACTTGACATTAGAGAAGTTAACTGGTCTTTCATGGAACTGAAAACCAACTGTGCCCAGGTCCTTGCTGTCTACAACACAGTATCACTGTTACCTGCCAAGCTCTTTGGCTGGCAACCATTGTGTCAACCAAGGTCACACTATTCACTTAGTTCTCGGACTGTAATTTTCCTTCTGATAATTTCAGTAGTAGAGCTGCTGATATTTATAGTTTAATTAGATTTGAATTAACCTAATTTCAGAGGCTGAAGAGGTCGTATGTCTTCCTATAAGTCAGACCAGGGTATAGATGTAGTTATGGGAACCCCAGCAGATGAGCAAGACCTTCTTGCTGAGATGTAGCCTGCAAGAAGCTTTTCATTGGCAAGGGAATTTACTTTGGGGTAAGATGAAAAATGAGTTGTACATTGTTTTATTTGGAACATTTTTGTTATTGCCGATCTTTTTGTATTCATTTCATAGAAGCTGGTGAGCTATTGGGGGCAACATAGTGGGCATCATTAGCAATAAGAAATAAAATAGGAAATAAACTTTCTGCTTACTGTGCTGCATGGGGTCCACCCTAAAAAAGTGGCTAGTGTTTCATTGGGGGGAAGGGGGTGAAACAGCCCTCGGCAGTCCAAGAGACTTAGTGCAAAAGAAGTAGATTTTAGAAGTTTAAAAAACACAATAATCCTGTGAAAATGTAGACTTCCCTACTGTTTCTGAACTATTTGTGAAGTCTGGTGCATTGTGATATTGCTTCTCAATGATCCTTCATATGTGTGCTGCTTCTATACTAATATTGATCTACTTCTTCTTTAAATGATACATAATGTATTAAAGTGTATTAGTTGCATATTTTTCTGAATACAAATAAGTGTTAAAAATGTCCATCAGCATGTTATCTAAAATAAACTTACATAATTTATGCCAGTGTAACACATATTATAATATGCTGGGGAAAAAAAACTGTCAAATATTGGGGATGATGCTTGTTCTTCCAGCCTTTAATACTGATGACAGATAACAGCACTGAAAGAATAGTTTGGGCTTCTCCACGTTCTCTCTCAGCCTTTCTCAACCACAAAGAAGACATCTTTCTAAGACTTGGAGGAGCTCCAATACAGTGCTAATTCTGCACTTGGCATTCAGTATCCAGGGCTAACTTCCAGGTTGCTGGGCTGGGAAAGGAAGACTGAAGATGTCAGACTGATTGCTACTTAAAGAACAGCACACCTGAATTCTGCCTTGGAAAGATTCATTCGCCTACCCAGCTTTACTAAATAACACTGCAATTTGGGTAATTATACATATATTAAATTCCAATCCCCTTCTGTCTCCTACTTTTGTCTAACTGGCTAAAACCCACGAAGTAGAAAGGTGCTCAGTACTCATTCAAACACATCATTTGATTATAATAACAAGTTTATAAATGAGTGAAAAATATAGATGAAAGAAAATGAATACTTTTGGTCCAGAGCAAATGTCCTATACTTATGAAACTTTTAGGGTAGCTTATTATGAAGTGTTTTTTAAAAAGTTAATGCAACCTAATACTCAAATATTATGACTATAATAATACAATATTACAACCACTTGGCCATCTTCAAGTGAGAGTAACACTGCATTCTAATTTTCTTGAAATTAAGAGTGGGTCTGCTGGAGCCAAAAATCCCTTCACTGTTCTACTGTTTTCTGACAGACAATAAGAAAGACTAGAAAATAATGTTGGCTTTGGAATTGGGCTTGGGAATACATTCCGGATTATTGTTCCTGAATGTAAATGCTTTTATTTGTAACATGGAGATAAAAACCCTTCCAGGACTGTGTGAAGATGGAGATAATGCATGCAAAGAGCAATATGATGTTTAAACTCCTCCTTGCCCACTTTGTAAGGATTCTCTCACTCTCTCTCTCTCTGGAGTGTTTCTTTACGGTTTTTGCTTTACAGTTCTTCTCTGTAACCCATGGGTATCAGAAGAGTTGTAAAACCTTCATTTTGAGTCCAATCCTTCTTTTCTTCTGACCTTTTACCCTGAAATTGAAGTTTGAAGAATGGATCATTTTCTTTACCTTATAGCTTTGCACATGCTCTAATGCCAGTTTCCATAGCCCTTGCCTCCAGTCTACATCTCTCATTTCCCACATACCCTAATGTCCACTCACTCAGAAACAGCTTGCAGAAAACATGTATGGTACCTCATTGGTGCCAGGAACTCTGTAGATACTAAATATTCATGAATTTTCTTTCCTAGACAAGGGAGTTCTAGACTGTATAGCCTATTTTTAATGAGATGTACTAATACACTATGTATATAGTGATCTAAGAACTATATTTTAGACAAAGTATTTTGAACATTAGATTCAATCTTTAAAACTGCCTACATTTGGTCTGGAAATGTGGTTCAGAAGTAGAGTGCTTGCCTAGCTTGCCTGAAAGCTGTGGGATCAAACCACAGCAAAACCAAAAACATAACCAGACAAATAGAGACTAGGCTACTTACTTGGTCAGTGAGACTGCCATTTCTGAAATTCAAACCATATCTAGGTACCCACTGGATATCTACATATCCAGATAGGTTTTAAGATGCTTGAGAGCTTTCCCTTGCATGGAAATGCACTACTGGTGGTCCAGCTTATGCTTAATCAGAGGGTTAGCTCTGACATTTTTTTCTCTGAAAGCTTTTTCTAATAGTCTTGTTGTTAGGGGTAGAATTTGTTTTGCCAGACTGGAACCGACCTCTTTACTGTAATGAAGATGAAGTAGTTTGCCCAACTAGATTTTGTCTTAATAAGCAGCAGTGAATACTGATGACTTTCAAAGCTGTAATCATGTAGAATGGGAAGATCCCTAAAGATCTGATTTTAGAGGTTATAAATAATATAGTATGAAATCTAACAGTTTCCATTCCATGGTTTCCCCAGCAGTTTCCAATTATTTATTATAATCATATTAAACATAACTTAAAATATAATTTCATACATTTAATAAAAATGAATATGAAGTTTATTATTTACCAGTTAAACCAGATATTACTTTCTCAAATATTCTAAGAAAATGATGTTTGTTTAATGAACAATTCTTTTAATTATTAGGAAAATTATGTTTCACAATGGCTCACTAATTCACATCCATTTATTACTTATACAATGTAGATAAGGTATAGGATCAAACTCTCTGTCTTTCGGTGTCTCCCTTTCATGAGCCAAAGTCACTCAACAACAGGAAGGCTGAGGGAAGTATAAACATAAGCCACCCAATAACACATGCTCAAATTTTGCAAAGCACATTAAGAAAAAGATTTGTTGTAGACATTCAATGGCTACAAGTATGTGAAAGATAAGGACAAAAGGTGGAGAACACTGCTTTTGATGAGCTTGTTAGGAAGTCACAGGATGTGCTTCCTTATCTAAGAACAGAAGGAAGAGAACATTTAAACCTCAGGAAGCACAACAGGCACATGCCTGCTGACTCTACAACTCTACTTCTTTTCTACTAATAGATTTACATGGATTATTCATGTAAAGTCTAGCAAAAAACAGGCAGAGTTTTTCCCCAATATATTTATATATTTTTGTATGCAGAAATCCCAGTGCTAACTTCTTCAATAAGAAAAACTGAGAATTAGAATCTTCAGAGTCAAAAGAAATTCACCTTAATTTGAACATGATAGCATTAGTGACATCCAGCAGAAAAAAACAGGAGTTATAATGCAGCTTTATATAGCTATTCTGATCTTTGATGAATAGTAACTTCAAGATAAATTTTACATACTAAGTAACTAAATGGAAACAAAGTTGAACCAATAACGTCCTGAAGGATATCTTTCTTAATGTGTTAGGAAGTTTTGAGTTTATATTGTAGAAAGATGGCAGATTGTTGACATCCCTAAACCCCGGGGAAACCTAACTACCCAGAAAAAAGAAGACACTGGAAACCCAAAAGGACATCCATGAGGTCCCATAAACAGCAAGAAGCAGAGCTCTCTTAGAACCCATAAATAGAGAAGAAACTAACTGCATAGAAAAATGGCTTGCAGGTCAGCACTTCTGATCCCCTGCTCCTGAAAGTTCCTTGCATTTGCACTCCTCCATGCTAGGTGTTAAGCACCATTCCCTGGCACACAAGAGACTGAGCTCCAAGATATCCCCTGCTCCATGACCCTTCACCCCACACCCTGAAATGCCAGGGGGCATCATAGAGGATAATAAGGAGCATAAAGAACTCTAGTGCATTCCCACAATAAGCACTTATTTACCATGAATGTATATAGTTAAAACATAATTAAAAATAGAATGTAGACCTCTTAAGCGTTTTTATGCATTTCATGCCAAAGAACTTCTACTTCCCAAGCTTTTATATCAAAATTCTTAGTGGGGTGACTAGGTATTACTTCAAAGAAATACCCAGTTGATCTGCACAGAATATAGAATTGATACAGACATTCAATTTGAGAAACTGTAGAGACAAAAAATGATGTTTAAACAAGTGAGCTCTTAAAAAAAAAATTCACAAATAAAATGCTCTGAACTAACTTGAATGTTCATAACCCAAAGCAAACTGTGATCTTATGGTTGCCAACTAAAACCCTCAGGCCAAATCCAGGCTATCAGATTTTTGTTATTGGAACACAACAATGTTTATTCATTGACATATTGTCTAGTTGTTCTCAAGCTACAATGGCTGATTTAAGCAAGAGACCAAGCCTGAACTACTTACTGTCTGGACATTTTTACCAAGTTTGCTACCCATGATCCCTTACATCACTTTCATCAAACCTACATTTTGCCCTAAGCACCATCTCCATAAGAGAATATAGAGTTGGCCCTCAATATCTGAAGTTCTCCATCTACAGATTCAAAAAGTTCATATATCAAAAGTTTTTAAAAATTGTAGCTGTACTAAATATGTACAGATTTTTCTTGCCATTAGTCCCATAACAGAACATTGTAACAACTATTCACAAAGATTCATTTTGTACTAAATAAAAATAGATATTTACCCTATGTGGGAGGATGTGTATAGGTTATATAGAAATTCTACATCATTTCTTATAAGGAATAGAGAACCCATGAATGTATCATGTATGTTTGGGTCCTTGAACTGATCCCCTGAGAATACTAAGGGACAATGGGTTCCACTGAAGTTTGCTTTGGCCATAAGACTTGGTTTGTTTAGTTTGAATGCTGGAGAAATATCAGTGTACAGTTTTGAAGCTAAGCCTCAAGTCCTGGCTAGGCAATGTCCCTCCACTGGTAGAATGAGCTATATGGAACAGAACCAACCTAGCTGACCTGCCAACTTGCATGAGTAAAGAAAAATAATTGCTTATTTGGGCACTCTGTTGTTGTATGCTATGGAAAAAAGCCAACTAATACAGTGGAATGTTCTATCTCTGCTTAAGTATTCTCATGGAGGTTTGATTTCAGTGACTGATGACAATGGAAGGATTCCAAAGACCAGGTGTGGCTTAGTCCTCGCTGGATTCTTATTTCAGACCTTGATGGGTACAATAGAACAAGTTTTCATTCCCCTACCTATGGTAAGAAAACTGAGTTAGAGTTCAGGCCACCAGACTTACATACTCTTGGTTGCTCAAAGTTTAACATGGTATGGAAGTCAGTCTCATTTTTTTCTGCTGTTGGATTACATGTCTAGCTCCTAAATTGAGCCTCAAGTAGTATAAAGAGGAGGCATAAGTCAACTTGGAGCATTAGGCCAAAGCTTTTGCAATTTAGATTACAATTTGGCTTGCTACTCCAAAATGTTTAGTTTTAAGGGATAAAAAAGATCATGACTGGCTCCTCAGAAACCTCATAAGAAGCAACAGTTACATTAAAATGATAAAAATCCAAGAATTTAAGTCTGTTAGCAATATCAGCTGAGATGAAATGATTCAAGTATATGTAGAGCCTTAAAAAATGTGATTTTACACAATGCTTAGTCTTCCGTTATTCAAATTATTAGACTATAAACAAAGCTTTTCAATGTTACTTTTCTTGAAATCATCAAGTTAAGAAACATCAGTGGTCCATTTATTCCAAAAAGATAATCAAGGTCACAAATTTGTCATAGAAACTTGTAGTTTCTCTTGGTCTCAGAACTTCAGCCTTTTATTTGATTCTCAATGGCATTAATTAGTCTTACATTAAATCTTTCCATAGCCAGTTTTTGCTGTTTTATAAAAAGCTAGAGGCTAGCTAATGTAGAACTAGTACTACAGAATATGTTGTGGGCAACAGAATGTGTAGCAGCTCCTACTATTTATTCTAACATTGAAATCCCAGACTTAACTCTTAAATCACAAAAGTGGTACCATGTTAGTCATGGTACAGAGACATTGTATATTTTTTGGAATTCACTCCTCTCTATAAAAATTTTCAAATGTATTTCCTAAAAAGAGGACCAGAATTTTCATATATGTATTTTTAATGAAGCCCTATTTCTGCTTTCCTTTTTACCTTGTAATTCAACTGATAGAGGCTATGAACAGTCAGGAATTCAAATAAAGATTTTATTTTTTTTATTTTGGCAGTACTAGTGTTGAAATGAAATCAAAGCTCCAAGCACTCAACTACTTGAGCATCTAGCCAAATGAAAGTTTTAATCTCAATAGTATCCATTTTAATACCATACTTCATGTTATATGAATTCTAGATATTTGACTATACTAATACAAGTTTCATTAATGCATAACTACTTTTCTTACTAGGAAAACACACTTGTGGGTGATCCTTTCTAAACAACTGGATCTCAGGAAGTTTCAACTACTCTTTAGGGAAAAGGTTTTTATTATAGCATTCATTCTAGTCATCATTAAGTAATGGAATCTTTTTGTCCAGCACTTAGATTTTGAAAAAAAAAAAATGTAAGATACTACCCTTTATTCTTAATAATCACACAATTGGATCAAAATGCATAGCTAAATGAACATGTTTGGTTATTTCCTGGTTCTTTGCCATAGACTTTCATTTTTCTTATAAGTCCTTAAGTACCATGCCTCATTATTCTTGGCAGTTTACACACAGTATTCTGCATATTAATGGACTCTAAATATGTAATTTTTGCATGAATAGATACATGCTATATACATTAAATGATAGCAAAGGTTAAATGAGTTAATTAGCATAAAGATCTTAGAATGGTCTCCAATATAAATGCTAAGTAATATAATTACAAAATAAGGTAAGATGTAGAATGGAGATTAGAATTGTTTTTATAAGTTTTAAGTTGACCATGGAAATCTTGGTAAGTGCTAATAGAATACAGCGGATAAGCAGAGTAGTGAAGGCAAATGAATAACCATGACGTTTAATAACCTAAGAAAAACTCAGCTGGCATAAAGCTGAGCATCAATTCACAATCTAACATTTGCTAAATTGAACTAATTAAAAATGACAATTATTCCTTTAAAATGAAGCACAGTATAAGTGAATTGTTATTAGATGAAGAAAGTATAATTGAAAGATATTTTATTCTACTGAATCTATTCTAACTATGATTTAACTGTATAAATACCACACTAATACCAACATATTTTATGATTCTTAAAAGACACACTCTATTGCATCATTGTCACTTAAAGGTTGATTCTATAAAACAAATTAACATCTTTTTATTACAAGAATTAAGCAGTACAAATATCTATTGCTTCATGGGTTCAAGTTATATTAATTAAAATCTAATAATCAGCTTTTCAAAAATGGGACCTGTATAGTGAAACATGACAAAAGGACCCAATACAGCCACATTTCTCTACTTTCTGAATCTCAGTAAAGACTGAATATTGACTTCTTTTGCTATATTTCATATTTAAATATCTCTATATTCTGAGCCCATATACTTGAAAAAATTATTAAGTATCCAGCTTGAAGCAAATATTTTCCATCTACAATTACCACCTTCAATGTAATTTAAATTATAATGCTGACAAAATCTGCTGGTTTCTCTTGAACAATGGTCTGGTAAATTTATGTTAACACTGTGGAAAATCAAACATGTCTCCCAGAAAAGAACAATTATGCACATTTAAAGTATAATGTTAGCATTCCCAGTCTGAAAATTACCCAATGAAATAAAACATAGTTTCAGAAAAACTACATTTGAGAATTCCAGTTACATTATTTTCCTGATCTCACCTTCAGTCATTGACAGGAATTTTGTAGGCCACCATGCTATTCACTTTGTGGATTGTGGTAGTAAATGAACGAAGACGAACTTCCTCAGAATTGGTAATGAACTGTGGTCCAGACTCTTCCCATTTCTCAGGTACAACCAAATCTTTGTCTGTATAAATCAGTAGATCAAAAGAACCTAATTGGGGATAAGAACATACATCATTTGTCAAAATCAAAACTAACCTTCCTGTCTCTATTAAGGGACACATTGTAGTCTACCCATAGTTTGAAAAGGTGGTTTAGCCAGGTCTCTGAACACTAATTTGTTTTCCACAATGCAAATTTGTTACAGTAAAGAAAACATTATAGTCTTCGATTTTATTCTTAAAAAAATTCAAGCTTTTTCTTTAAGGAGAAAATCATTAAAAATAGAGTATATAAATTAAGCATACAATCACATAATAAAATATAAATGTAAATCACAACAAATTTAATATCTTGGTTCTGTCAGTGGTATATACTAATGCTTAGAACAGTGTCTGGCCTATAGGAAATAGTTGGTAAATAATTCATGAATAGAATAAGAATGAAAAGGAAAACAATAATATCTATAGTCACACATATAATAATGTGAAGAAAATAAGAAGTACTGAGAAAAATCACATGAAACTATTCAAGAATGAGTGTTGTGGAATACTTTTTCGTTCTTCACAGAACTTACAAGTTTTCTAAAATGACAATACATGGCACCGAAAATGAAGAAATAATTCAATAAAGGGGTAATTCTTACAATAGTAGCTTACTCCTCTGCCCCCCAAATTTACATAAATAAGTTGATTAATACATACAAGAAACCTCTAACAGTGGCAGAAATGTAACTGTAGCTGTAATCTGTCTGATCACTGAACGGATTTCATCCTGGATAGCTTTCTGGGACTTTTCTCTGGGAGTGCTATCAAAGAAATCAAAATGATTAATTCATTGTAGGCTTTAACAAATTATTTAAAACATAATGGCAAGGAAGTTTATTTATCTGATTAAATGCTTCTAAAATAAAATATTAAAAAGGAGACTTAAAAAAATCAATGAGAAAAGTATTCTTAGAACCTATAACCTAGAAGGCACAGTACCTATCCTTGCTATTTCACTGGTCTTTCCAGTGATCTTTTCAGGTTGTTTCCAGTGATTTTTTTCATGTTTCGTATTTCAAGATAGGAAAGCTTCAATGTCTCAAGATAAAAATAAATGCTATCTAACTTGTTTAATTCCTACAATTACTTTGGCATTTTTAGAATGTCTAAATAACTGATTCCCTGTTGCCTCAAATAAAATATTACAGTGTATATCAAATTATTTTTATGAGCTAAAAATTTCATAAAACAGATCAAAGGCTTCAGAAGTGAATTATAATCCATTGTAAGAAAGGGTCCTGAGTTTACAGAAAAGTATGCCTAAGATAATGGTAAACATTAACAATATGCTGATGGACGTGTCCCACTTAGGAAGTTTCAACATTCAGAAGTTTTGAAGTATTTTAGGAAGTTCATTGCAAAAATGAATTATAGTAACACTGTATCTTAAGTTGGGACACGGATCTAGAATCATCCTCTACAGTTAAAAGTATCTTTGAATAACTGACTAAATGGTGCAATTAATTCATCATATGTAGTTTTGCAAATACCACCAAAAACTCACATTCAAAATTCACTGATTTAGACTAAAGTCAATTATGTTAACAGTATCCTATCTATACAAATCAATGATATACTAACAAATACCTAGGAACCTTTCCTTGAGACTATCTTAGAGAAAATATACCTAAGACACATATTATACTTTATATGAAACTAGTTCAGTATAATTAGAACTCATGTAGCAATGAAAGTAAGCTTTCAAAAAAATGTAAAATAACAATAATTTACCTTTCTTCTTTTGCAGTCTTGTCACACTCAATATCAAACTGCCATCTTTCAAGGACCTCACCACTTTCAATATTTGAGATAACTACCACCAGTTTCTGAACAGAACACTTGTACAGCCAATCTGCAAAAATTACAACTTCTTTCATTTGGACATATTAACTGCAAAAGCCGTTTCTAAGAGAAATAATAACAGACTGTTTTGTTAAGACATATAAGATTCCCAACATCAAACTATTCAGTTCACTTAAAATGTATTGGGTGGGAGGATGAGATTTCTTTTAATTTCTCTATTCTTTGTTTCCTTGAGCCCCCTGATAATCAGTATATGTGAAATGGTAGTTTTTCACTTCCTCAAAAGGAGCTGAAAAATGACCACTTGAGATGCTTAAAAATGTGGACCCTGGCAGAAACACAAAGCTCATAGTTTTTCCAGTGATTATTTACCTTTCAGTTGTTCCACCACATTATTGAGATATTTTATGAGCTCAGGATCAGTAGTGACAAGCAAGGTGAGCCCGTATTTCTGCACTCTAGTAAAGGTTTCAGATGGGTATATTCCTCGCTGATACAAAATGCTGTTGATGCCAAATGCTGAAAGCAAAAGAGACGTTAACGTTTTGTATCTGTTGAAAGTACGGTAAAACAGCATGGAAAATCCTTAAAATTTTGCTTACACGTTGTGGTAGTAAGAGAAAAATGTCAAACATTTCACCTCTTTCTAATCCATCTAAATTAAGATCATGTGGTCAGAGGAGATCAAATCCGGTTGCTTGTTAAAAATTAGCAACTAAACTGCCTGGTCCCATTCCCCAGGCAAGCTTGTCCCTGTAACTCCTCATCGCCTCAAGCTCCATTAGAAAGTGCATGGGGGCTGGTGAAGTGCAGTTCCTCCCACAGCTTGGGTGGGGTGGAGTCTAGGTAAAAATCCACGCCAGGCCCCACCAGGCACACCAGGCCTAAAACCGGAGGAGATGTGCAGTAGCTCAGGAGAAGGGAAAGCCCTGAGAACCAGGCCTCAGCAGCATGCAGATCTCTCCTCCCTCCTGAGTAACACATCAGTCTATAAGCAAGGGTCCGCATCGCATTTCCACCTTCCGCCAGAGGTCCGGTACCAGGGCAGGCAGGGCCTCCCGGTCTCCCAGGCCGAGGCTAGAGGCCATGCGGCCGACAAAGCCCAGGTCTCCCCACCGTGTCCGGCGCGAGGACTCACAGAAGAACTCCGCCACGATCTCGGCACTGCCGCGTAGGGTGATTCCTTGCTCCCGAGCGAGCTGCAGCGCCATGGCGAGGTCTGCTCACGATAGTGGGGCTTGCTGTGGGCAGACCGCTCCAGCAGCAGCTTCTGCAGCAGTTTCCCCGCCACTCGTTTCAAAAATAACGACGCAGCGCGCCGCCGGGCCCCCTGCGCAAGCGCGGGGCGCCTCTAAGCCCCGCCCCACGCAGCCGAATCCTGCGTTTCCCTGTCTCTCCGCCCACCACGAAGCGGCCTATCTGCGCAGGCGCAGTGGGTGGACATTCGCACTCAGGTTGTCAAGCTCTGCAGGTGTCTGTTGGAAGGTTGAAGTGGAGCGCCGCTTCCTATTCCTGTGGTTTGAGCAATCAGGGAGCACAATCTCTGAGTTTCAAATTTTTTATTTTCAAATTTATGTGAACTGTTATGTGTGTCCATCTGGGATGGCCACAGTGATGTCTAGTGTATGTTAGAAACTTGTGCAGATGCTTTGGGATTTCCAGTTCCAGAGGAACTGCATGAGAAGAGCCTGATTTCTGCGTGGAAAGGGGCTGCTCCTGAGAGATCATCATCTGCTTTTCTGTCCCATGTCCACGTCTGACGGATTTTCTGTGCCATGTCCTCGTCGTAGGGACTTTCGGTCCCATGGTCATGTCTCAGGGAAGCAGAGCAGATTGGGGCTATGGGTTATGTCCAGGTTATGTCCTGCCTCCCCCCTGCTTTAGGCAGGTAGCCTAGAATAAGGTCCTCTCACTAAGAACGCCAAGCAACGTTGAAGAAATTTTCTATCAATAACTTCATGGTAGGTGAGAAGTATTAGGTGCATGATTAATGTTTATGTCAATTGTGAATTTTATTCTTAAAGCAGTTAGGAAAATTATTTGACAATGCTGTAATAAATTTTACTATCTACCAGAAATGCTATATTTAAATCATATATTTAAATATATGAGAAATGCCTGAGTGAGTTACAAGTTTTCTACTGCTACTACACCGTTTATTATCTCAGTTCTGTAGAAAAGAAGTCTGGGCATGGTATGAGTGGATGCTGTGCTTAGTCACAAGAAGCTGAAATCAAAGTCTGCAGTGGGTTTTTATCTGAAGTTTGGGGCCCTCTTCCAATCCCCTCAACACCCCCCCCCCGGTTATTGGACTGAAAGTCCTATCTATTCCTTGCTACCTGTTGACTGGGGGCCAGTGTTTTATGTTTTCCAGGTACTCCTTCAGTGGACCTTCTTTAACTTCCAGTTTATCTGACCAGAAATTTGGTCAGAATTTTACTTATCACAGTATTATACAAGATTTTGAGGACCATACTCCACCAGAGTGATGCCAGAACTCTGGCCTTAATCCAAGCTCCCAGTGGAAGGAGTGATATCAGGACAACCAATTTCTTTCTCCATCCTCTTCCCTTTCCCTAACATTACTGTTCTTCACACAAAAGGTTGTGATTTACACACAGAAACTTAAAGATGTTAGCAAAACAAATTACTGTGTCATTAACACATTTCACACAATTTGGAAGAAGAATGAAATAGCAGTACAGATAAAAACCAATGTGCCAAGCCTGCAGTACAAGGTGTTCTTGGTCCATGCTGTGGTAGAAAAAGCTCCCCACACTCTTGAGTTTGTTCTAGTTGTTACATAATAACACTTAAGACTTTAGAAACTTTGGAGGGAATTACCCGATCTTATCAAAACTGAACACTATTGTTACAGAATGTTACTTTAAACTTCTTTTCAATTACTTGAGTTTACTTATCTTCACCATCATTGGAATCTTCTTGATGTGTATTATTAGGGGAGGGATGTTTGGACAGGTATAAGTAAAAACCAAAACATTTTTTGCATAAGAAAACCAATAATGATAAGAGATAACTATAAAAAAAGTCTTAACCACGCTATATTTCTTATTATGGAATTAAAAAACAGAAATGCTCAAAATTTTCTAAAGCTAGAAATAAATGCAATTTTAGAATGAAGGAAACTTAATTAATGACTTAGTTGAATAATCTTATAGATGAGGAAAATGAGATCCAGACTGTTTTATAGTTGGTTTATGATTCAGTGTCTAGCATGAAAGAGTTCCAGATTTAATCTCCTTCTAACCTGTATCTATTTGGAAAAAGGCCAAGAAATACTCATAATATTCTAAGGGTTTTATTTAAAAAGTTAATTGATTTTTGCATAAGAAGAAAATGGCAGTTACATGCAATAATGGATTTTATAGAGATCTGCAAATTGTTTGAACTGACAGAAGATGGCACTGTTTGCACATACAATAATACTTAACAAAATTTCAAAACTGTAAATGTCCTTCGGCATAAGATGAAGGAAAAATGAATTTAATAGTTTCTAAGGTATTTGTATATGTGGAATACTTCAGAGTGAAATTTTGGATCAAAATATGTTACAAAACTGTGTAATAATATGTTATTCACATTTAGTATATGTGCACACAAACTGAAATATATAAATGGGTTGTGTTATCATAATAACACTTAAGACTTTAGAAACTTTCGAAGGAATTAAACCAATATTATCAAAACTGAACACTATTGTTACAGAATGTTACTTTAAAACTTCTTTTCAGTTACTTGAGTTAATACCTTCTCAATTTGTATTTAATAACTTCTAATTTGCATTTAATGTGTTCTTGTGTGGAAAAAGAAAACATTTTTAGCAATTTAATCATTATTCTCACACACTTATGAGAATTTTCTATCAAAATTTATTCTAAGTCTCATAAAACAGTAAGGGATACTTACCTTTATGAAAATTTTAATAAGGTATTCATTTAACAATGTTTGATAAAAAGTCATTTTACACATAAATTATTTGGTTATATATGTTTGGGGAATTTGCTTTTTTAAAAGTTTTCTCATAAAATTGTTATTTTTATATAGGTTATAGTTCATGTTATGTAAAGGACAGGAATTAAAATAAATCAGTTGTTTTCTATTCTGATTACTTAAAGTTTTTTCTGTAGATCTAATGATAGTATGTATTTTTTCATGGCTTAAGAATCAAATTGGAGAATGCAGTTCTCCTCTTCAGGTCTCTTTCAGTCCTCTTCAGGACTCTTTGGTGGTGCAGGTGCTCCAAAAGGTGGCAAGATGAATTTTAATCATGACATAATAATTAACAATGACTTTAAAAAATCCACAAATATATATCCATAGAATTCATAACTTTTAAGGATCCAGTTGCATATGTAGGCTATTAAGTTTTTATCTTTAGTAAAGGTTAGGTACTAAATTTGAAAAATACTTCTGTAAATACCTTTTGGTAGTTTCTTATCAGAAAAGCATTACCATATTTTATTAGTTTATGTTGATTGTTATTATAATTTTATTATGTTAGTAATATATAATCACATAGTAGTCTTTTCACAGCTCAGCCATGATTTGGTACCAAAAGGTACAATTTGAGATATAGTTATAAAATTATTCATATTTAATCTTTACAGGCTGAAAAATGTATATATATTTATATAAATACATATAATATGTGTGTATACATTTTAAAATATAATTGAAATTCAATCCAGAACAAAAATAGTTTCAGGTATGAAAACTTCCCACACAAAGCCTCTGTGGAGAAGTAATAAACCATGGTCCTATTAAAATTAATAAAAATTAATACAATTAATAAAAATCTGATGTGCTAATTTACTTGGTAATTACTTGTTTAATTTGACCATAGTACATTTTTAGCTGATTATTTCTGAATATATTGAATATGGGATTATTTTTATTACCTTATATGTAAATATAGATGAATTAGTTCGGCTACATATGTCAACTAACAGTAAAAGTCTGTTTGACTAAGTAGAAAAATATTTTGAGATAAAGGAGAGTGGTGAATGGGGTGAATTCAAGTGTGATATACTTGATATATTGTAAGAACTTTATAAATCTCACAATGTACCCCCGCACAACAAAAAATATTTTTCAGATAAATCCATACATAAAATAAATAGATAATAAATTTGGGTCTTTCGTAAATACTTGTCAATACCATTTTATGAAACATTTATGGGAAGAAAATACTTTATAAAAACATGAAAAATCACTTTACATTAATTTTGTTTATATTTTTCTATGATGGATAAACTTGGCTTTTTCAATTTGAATAGTTTTCTTGTACTTCCCTTGTGTTTGTAGCTCCTTCCATCAATAAAATAGTTAAACCTTATTTATCAGGTGATAGGTCAGTCATCAATCATGCTCATTAATTCTGTTGCTCATGTTTGATATTTCCACTTATAAATTGAGTATGACAGTGTTTTTAATTCTTGAATTATGTACATAGCCCTTTTATCATCAACCACCAATAAAAAGATTATCAAACTCCAGACTTTTTCATTTAATCACCTCATCAAATGTATTAAAAACTAAATAGTGATTATTTCTTAAATCTAATGTGCTCCTAAGTACAAATGCTAACTTTTTGCCCTGAGGTTCACAGCAATTCTGTGCTTTAAAGTATTCTTTAAGGGCTGGTGGATTGGTTCCAGTGGTAGAGTTCTGTTCTAGCAAGCATGACACCCTGAGTAAAACCAGTATTACCAAAAATACTTTTAAGAGATTCTTTCAGATAGTCCAGAAAATTCCTTCCTTAACTTGTTTTATATTATCATCAAAAGAAAACTTGAAAAAGTTTTATGTAATTACTTTATCTTCAAGCATATCCTTGCGCATTAGTGTGAGGAACAATTAGTACGAGGAACTGAAGCATTTGGATGTATTAAAAACTGTGTTATTTCTTATTGGTGAATACACCTCACTATTTTTAAAAATCTTAATTATTTATGAAAGAGTGATTTAAAAAGCTGGTCCTTAAAGCTTATTTTATTTATTTTAATTTTTATTGCTCTGCTGAGTGGGGGTACATTTTGGCATTTACAAAAGTTCTTGCAATATACCATATATATCATACTTGAATTCACCCTCTCCACCATTCTCCTTTATTCCTCCCATTCCTGGAATACTTTTAATAGGTATCATTTTTCCATATTCACACATGTGTGCACAGTATTTGCACTATATTCACCATAATCACCATTTAGGATGAGTGTAATGCTGGCTTAATAGAATGAGTTTGGCAGTGTTCCTTCCTCTTCTATTTTGTGT